CCACATTTGGGGGCAAATGTGATTTTTGGGGAGTAGTATTTGTATTCGGAATCGTAGTCTCACTTTGCACTCCTTGAGCCGTATCAGCTTCTTTTATTGAATCACTTTTCGGTGAAGTAGCCGAAGCAGGCTCTTCATTACTTTCGACTGCACTAACAGATGTCGGTCTATTATGTTCACCTGAATCATTAGTGCCAACTAAGACAGGATCAACTCTATTTGAGGGTGAACGATAGTCTAATAAGACTAACAAAACCTGTAAACAGAGTGTTACAAGCATCTCCCGTGGATCGGTAAAAACCATGTGGTTGTAAGGTACTCCCCAACCAGCAGGATTATATTTAACGGTAGTATTAAGCAAACTACAAAGTAGTGCAAGAACAACCTTTCGTTCCAACTTAAGAACCAAGAATTTGATCCACTTGTTTTCTTTTGCAATAAAGGTTGCTAACAACCGAAAGCATATAAAAAATCAATAACATTTTTTATGATTTATGTACAAATTTAATATATACCTCCTGGCATGTACATTGACTTTGAAACAAGTCCGAGAAGGAGCCTTAATGCTTCTGTTTTATTAGCATCATTTTCTTTGGACGAACCAATTGGTATAGTGGATCCAACACCTGTCTCCCTTTATAATACAGTATAATGAAATTTTAGCTTATAAATACAATATTTAATGGCAATTATTTTAGCCTACCTACCAATTAACATAAATAACACGAGAAGATTCATTCGCGAGATTTGCTGGTAATGTAAAACTTGTCAAAAATAATAGGTCTATTAATGCGGACAAAAGACGCTCTCCAAGAGGTGCTATTGTTTCATAAGATTCAGAACTAGTCCGATTTTGGGTAGAAGATTCCTATATATCACATAATGAGTAACAATTTAATGACATATAATTTATGTAATTTATTATATATATACATTATGTTAATTCTAGTCTTTTTACCTGGCTTACATTCCTCTCCGAATTTTCAATTACAATTTCTTCATTCGGCTCTTTTGAAGCACTTTGAAGATCACTGATAATTTCTGACCTGAAATTTTTCTTGATTTTTTTTGGTGTCCAGAAGAATTCATCCTCCCATTCTTCTAATTCTTCTGATTCAAAAATAAATGGCATAATACGTGTAAGGAGTCGAATACAATTAAGTAGTTGTAGTGTAGAATTTTCAGGAGAGGGAAAATCAGGTGCTCTCATAATTTGAAAAAGTCGATCAGTAATCTACAATTTCAAAGATATACTGTATTAGATTATTTATCTCTAATGTAAGAAGACAAATTTATTGTTTTATTATAAAACCTTGTGAATTAGTGTCTCAAGATTTTCTCTTGCTTGATCTCTTACGCGTCGAATATCTTGCGCACCCACAAGTGAAAATACATCGTCAGCAGACTCTGGGAGATCCCAAAACTAGAAGATAAGATTAGACTATGGATTTTTATTACTTGGTATTTTACGATTTCTGATATCTCACCTGTGACCAATATTCAGCTGAAACATCTATATTCTAGACAAAAAAAA